AAGAAAAATGTTACAACTTACAAGCACCTGTCATATTTTGAATTTTACATTATCCTGCTAAGCAAAATTAACCCTGTGAAAAAATATTTAATTATTTAATGATTGACAAAAATCTGCATGTTGTTAAATTGTTCCATGACAGTGTTCAGTGTTATTTATAGTTCTTTGGTTCCAATAAAACAACAAAGAAAACACAATTTTCCTTACTTTATTATGTATACAACTCAATATGCTTTACTAATCATGAAATCAAACTAGGAGAGAGTCTCCATATACAAACATGCAAATAGTTTGTGGTATACCATGGTACGTATCGAGGTACATGCGTATGTACTGCAGTACGTTTTCCAGAAGGGGTACTCAACCCTACAAGTAAGTACTGGAAAACATGCTGGAGTGGTGTTCTTGATATAATATTCGTTATGCAGAATTTGGAGGTTTGTCTTTGTTACATCAATACGTGGGAGGGAATTTAAATCTGAAGGAGTAATAATTCTTTTGTTCAGTGTGGATCCTTAGTTTTACACTCAAAGGCAAACTTGGGGATGAACCCAAGACTTTCCTGGACCACTGAGCCATAAAATATATGAAAAAATTATTTTGTAATTTTGGGTAATGTAAACTTATTAGTGAAATAGGCTTCTTTATTCTCCTTATTTTGATTTTTTTACCTGAACAACATGAATAAATCAGGATATGTTATCAGGATATGAGATTGTTGTTAAGGAAGGTGGCATGAATAACTTGTCTTCTGTATTTAGAGAATCCAAGCTCAAGTGTTTAGATTGACAAAGAAAATGCATGTCACTGGATTCATTTTCAAATTTTCAGTATACTCCAGTACATAAACAAATGTTGTGAAGCAGTTTTTTATCATTATACACCTGTGACACTTAACTCTAATGCCTTGATACAGGATACATTTAATCAGTGGAGAACTGGTACCAAATGTCTTCTCTTTGCAAGAAGCATACTGTATATAAAAAATAAAGTTTTCAAGAAGAACCACAGGGATAATACTACACAGTAAATCTTCTGAAGTCAATGCCTGGATTCTGTATTTCTTTGCAAAAACAATATCACATTATAGTGTGATTTTCGCCTTTGAACATCCCCTGAAGACAAAAAAAAACAAAAAAGGCAAATAAAAATGTTACATTAAAAAGCTTGCTGAATACATACCGCCTCAAGGAATCTAGGTGATAGGTACAGTAAATAACAACATAATATAACTTCAGGACTTGAACATCTGTAGCAAATGGGATTATTTCAAAGTACTGTGATGTGAAAATGTTAATCTGACCATTTCCCTTTCAAGTGGTTTAATTCAGCATGATTCTCTGAAAAATGCAGTGTGGTGAAAAGTAAGTACACCCCCTTAAGATTTTATGGTTTAACACATTTAGACTAATTTATTCTTCACCTCTTCCTCATCAAGACCTAACAGTAGGTAAAACTGACAAATTATGCACAAAAATCTATATTATCGTTATTTTAAATCACTTAGCCTTTGTGTGAAAAGGTAAGTGCACCCTTAGTTCTACCATCTCGGTAAAGAGGGTAGAGTTCATGAGTCCACCATCAGGATAAGACTGAATAAGATTGACTTTAATGGAAGGATACTCAGGAGAGAACCCCTGCACTCGTAGAATAACATTGCTGCGTGGCTTAAGTTTGCAATATTGCTTTTGAATGAAAAACAAGACTTCTGGAACAATGTTTTCTAGACAGAAGAGTTAAAAGTGGAGTTGTTTGGCCATATGAGGATAACCTCAATCTACTTTTAGAACTTGGTGAGGACCAGGTGAAGGTCAAATATGTCTAAACATATTAGACCATAATACATAATGTATACATAAACATAATACACCATAAACCATAATCCGGGGCGGAACGGTGGCTCTGTGGTTAAGGATCTGCGCCTGTGACTGGAAGGTTGCCGGTTCAAATCCTGCGGCCGGCACAGGAATCCTACTCCGTTGGGCCCCTGAGCAAGGCCCTTAACCCTAACTGCTTCAGGGGCGCCGTACAATGGCAGACCCTGCACTCTGACCCCAAGCTTCTCTCCCTGTCTGTGTGTCTGTGTCTCCATGGAGAAAAGCTGGGGTATGTGAAAGACGAATTCCTAATGCAAGAAATTGTATAGGGCTAATAAAGAAATATTATTATTATTATTATTATTATTAATCTTCTTAAGGGGGTGTATTTACAGTTTCAACAACAAAGTACTCTTTGAGTGTGATATAGAACATGGATTCAATATGAAAATAAAAATAATATTGCAGTGTTACAGTATGTTGTTACAGCAAACATAACCTGGTGAATCCCTCTAGTAAGAACATAAAAATGGTTATGAACAAGAGAGGAGCATTTGGCTAATCTTAATCATTTTGTAATCAGAAGGCATTAAAGTCTAACTGTGCTAGGATGTACTGTTTATTGCTCTTCAGTTTCCGGCTGCCTCTGTAAACACAAAGTTGTTTTATGATCCCTTAAAGATAGAACGTCTGACTGCTTCAGTGTCAATATGGTAATTAACCAGTTGTTTTACATTTTCTTATTGCTGTATCATTAAGATGCATGCTAGATAATACAAAACTGCCTTTGTAGACTTTGGAGCTTGCCAGAAATCCAGCGATGATGCAGGAGATGATGAGAAACCAGGACAGGGCACTAAGCAACCTCGAGAGTATTCCGGGAGGCTACAACGCTCTGAGGCGGATGTACACTGACATTCAAGAACCAATGCTGAATGCCGCTCAAGAGCAGGTGAGTCCTTACACAGTCCGAATTTGAGGGAGAATGCATACTCTTCTGATTTATATTTTTGTGGAATAGAACATTTAAATTCCACTTTATGCTGCACTTTAATCTGTAGGTAGTCAAATACCACTCTAAACTCTATTTCCAGGAAAATCTTTGAGATAGGATCTCTGTGGGTTCCTGGTAAGTGCGCTGCTTCAGTCTGAATGCCATTCATCGAGATCACCAGAATAGTAGACTTCTTCATACAATCAGACCATGATATGGAGAATATTATGAGCTATATAGTTCTCAGGAACACTGACTGAAATGATCATTTTTCTATATTCCCTGTGTAGATATAGCTTCAGAAACAGCAATTCATAAAAACAACCTCTTCAAAAAAGTTGCACGTCACTCTGAGTATAACAGATACAGATGTGCTTCTTGTAGAAATTGAAATATTGTGTGTCTGCTTGGGATATATTTTGCTTAGTTTATTAATTTAGATCAGGTGAAATAATCTTCTGTCAAGCCCCATCAGTTTGATGTTTGATGTTTTTGCCATCGTGATGTATGTCCATAATAGCCTAGCAAAATTAGCTATTCTGGTCATTTAATTTTCATTAATTTTTAACCTGTACTGTAGTTTCTCCCAACTTCTCCTTGTTGGGTTTACATTTTCTGCTTATGGCAGGGCTCTGCTTAATGCACACTTTCCATTAACATTGAGAGCATTGAACTGAATACCCATCACTTGGTTGTAAAAGCCCTGTAATTAATGAAGAAGGAGTAGAATCTTGAGGTGGTATTTTGTGATTACAAGGTTACTTTGAGCACAATTTCTGTGGAAGTAGGTGGGTGGGGGTACATATATTTACATTCGAGTTATGCTGTTAAATGGGTTTGCTGCCGGTACTGATGTTTTGTTATTACATTATATTATGCATTTGGATTAAAAGTCAAAAGCAGGTTACCACTGATACCACTTCACAATCTAATTACACTGAACTCGTTGACACCTGCACTTCCCCATTCTAAAAATGTGCTTGTAAGTTAAGATAATGATCAGAAAAGAAGTGCCCAGAAGAAAAAAAAAGGTTATAAGCCAATATTTTGTTCAGTTTACATAAATGAATGAAGTACATTTTTAATCTTTCCTAAATGCACAGGTTGGGGAGTTTCTCCTTGATATTTGTTTTTTACATAGGATTGAAAGTATCACTTCAGAACTGTACTTGTCATGTGATATCCTGTTGGCTCTATTTTCCCCAATTTCAGTTTGGAGGAAACCCCTTTGCGTCATTGGTGAACAGTGCATCTGGAGGGGGGAGTCAGCCTTCACGCACTGAAAACAGGGACCCTCTGCCCAACCCCTGGGCACCGCCTGCCAGCTCACAGCCTGCCTCCTCCAGTGCCACTGGCGTCACTGCTAGCACCACTGCCCCTGCCAGTGCCAATCCGGCACAAGGCACTGCCCACCCCAGCCTGGGGCCAGGACTGGGAGGTAAGCTTGCAGTTGTCATGGTGTTTTTTTGTTGTTCAATAAAATGGCATCGGCAGCCTTTTGTCTCATTCTGATTTACTGCAAAAATGAGGTCCATGGAAATCACTCTCTCCTTGTAAAATTGTCCCTAGGTGACGTATTCTGAAATACTTTACATTATTTTAAGAAATTCCAAGGAGTGGAATACATAATCTATTGCAAATAGCTTTTGCTTTTTTGTCTTTCAATTTGGAAAAGCCATTTTTTATCAAACCTGGTGATGGTGTCACAGTCATCTGCAACACTTTGGAAGAGATGTAGACAATACACAGGAATACAACCGTCAACCCTCCAAAAAAACAGGGCTTTAATTTCAACTGCAGGATGGGTTCTGTTGTCTTTGTACTCATGAGTACCTGTAATGGTGTTGTAACTTGAAGTCTGCTGCCCACAGTTCTGCATATTTGAACTGATGACCTACCAGTCTATAGAACTCTTACCAGTGCTTCTTGGAATAAACTGCCCAGCATTCTTTCAAGATTTCCTCCCCCAAAGATCTTTTATTTTAAATAAAAAAAGAATACAAGGCTGTTTTCACACATTATTCTAGAATCACAAAGGAAGATGTTCAATTTCTTCAGTCCAAGAAGTATTTTGAGAAAGATGTCCTTCCATTGTGGAGGCACTGTGGCTGAGGGGTTAACACTGCTGCGTCGCAGTTCTTGGGCCGTGAGTTCAGTTCTGGACCTGGGGTGCTATCTGCACATCTATATGTTCTCCTTGTGTTTGTGCTATCTGCATATCTATATGTTCTCCTTGTGTTTGTGTAGTATTCCTCACAGTTCAATAACATACTGGTAGGTTAATTTACTTCTCAGAAAATTGGCCCTGGTGTGAGTGTGTGCATGTCTGTTTGTGCCCTGTGATGGTGTCCTGTCCAGGGTGTACCCAGCCTTGCACCTGTCGCTTGCTGGGATAGGTTCTGGCTCCCCAGTGACCCTGAATTGGAAGAAGTGGTTAGAAACTGGATGGTTGTGCTCCCGTTGATGTTGTCTTAGAGGGGTCTATTTTTTTTTTGCTCTCAGCTGAGTCATAACTGGGAGCAGATTCCCAGAAGAGAAATATGACGGGGCTGGATGTTCATATTTCCTTCTGATGGCTATGTCCCAGTAGTCAGACTAGATGCCATGCAGTAGAAGATTTTTCTGATTTACCAGTCTTACCTTAAAGATATGTTTATACAACTCTGCTGCTTTAAAATAAGCACACCAAAATCTAGTGGAATCAAGCTTTCCTGCAACAACTAAAGACCTGTTTTTTAAAAATACAATATCTGCTTTCTGCTCGAGTGCATCACGTACAAAGCCAGTAACTAAGCAGTTGTTCCATATTGTATTTTGTTCATCTCATGCTTTTTATTTTTGTGTTATGGGTGGTCATTTTCATATAGGGCTCTGGAGAGACGGGAAGAAATACCAACTACAGTTGGCGTGTTTGAAGTGCTTCATGGGTTTAACTTACAATAACAGAAATAATGTCTGTTTTTATTAACTGATGTGATAAAACAAATTGGGTGTTGCAATAAAATGAGATAATTTGTAAAAACCTAATAAACATTTTGGATAGACTCTAATCCATTCCATCAAGCAGACGATAAAATGGAAACACCATTATAATTTATCTGAATTAATGTTTTGATTTTTTTTTTCCAGCAGGAATGTTTAATACACCTGGAATGCAGAGCTTGTTGCAGCAGATAACGGATAATCCACAGCTGATGCAGAATATGCTGTCAGCTCCGTACATGAGAAGTATGATGCAATCATTGAGCCAGAACCCAGACCTAGCTGCACAGGTACATAGAGAATAAAAATAGTCTGTCTGCCTGATGATATATGCAGTATCCAGCCATACATCCATACATTAATTATTCAACTCCCCACACCCAAGTACATATTAAAAGGAATAAATGTGCCACTGACAAACATCACAATTATTTTAGTCTGCAATAAACTACTAATTGAAAATAACCCCATTGTTTCCTCAGCCTCTTTGAATTTTAAAGTATGACTTTTTATGTAAGTCTGCATAATTTAATTGTTTTGTTTTACACTGACTTGAAACATTCGGGCTTTTATTTCTAGTCAGGTGTACCATTCCTTTAAACTTTTGTTCACTCATTTGTTATTTCTTAAACTTAGTTTATCTTGACTGATATTTTCTGAATGTTTTTCACTTTATTTTTGTTTGAAGTACAGTAGGGTTGTGACACCTGTGAATATAACATGGAAATTAAGGTCAGAAATGATGCAAAACTAAAGTGTGCTTTATGTGAAAGTACAGCAGGAGTGATTATTATTTCTGCTACAGGCAATTTACAGTGTTGATTGAGAGCCTTATGTAATTTGCATTTGGTTTCTAAGTTGTCAATCTGTATTTAAACCTCATCGTGTCAGGACATGTTTACTAAGATCTGGTTAATGAAACATGCTCTGCATTATTACAGAGTCAGGACAATCTGTAGAATATCTCTTCCCATTACTTGGTATTAAATGCCACCTGCTGTTTTACAGATGATGCTGAATAACCCACTGTTTGCTGGAAACCCACAGCTGCAAGAGCAGATGAGACAGCAACTCCCTGTGTTCCTTCAGCAGGCCAGTGTGAAAAACATAAAGCAATGTCCATTGATATGTAGTACTGTTAAATAAGTCATATTTGTTAGGATTACAAACCGAGTTAATATGAGTGAGTAGATGTACTGTATGAGCTATGTGTTAGTTGGATTTGATGTTTTTGAGATCATGCTAAAGTCGTACAGTTACTAAATGTAACTTCATGGGTAGAAACAGTTAATCATGCAGTTCAAAAGGGAAGTATTTAAAAAGAGACAAAGTTTTATTTTTAACAGTCATTTTATTCTCATTTTAAGACCTTTGTTTCCAAAGACAATTTGTACTTACCAAACAGGTGAAAATTTGTTAATGCTTTGTAAAAAAAGACGCATCCCTTTCTGCAAAAGACATCCCTTTCTCAATAACTCACAGAGCTATTTTTTAAAGTGAAGCAGATCAGTGAAATTATAGATTGATTTATGAGGCAGCATATGTTATAGCTCAAATGTATGTTGCTTTGGATAAAAAGATCAGTCAGATCAATAATTCAAATTGCAAGAAATTTAAAATATTTTAAATATTCCTGCAGATTTTAATATTGGTTTACTAAGGATCCACCCATACAATATAGAAATTATGGAAAACAGTGGAAAGTATATTTATCTGCAAAGAGCATGTATCCCTATTTACACTGAAAGACCTAGTGTCTGCTTACACTATCATGATGCTGTTATGGTGTGCTTGCAGAGTTTGTTGACTTAATCAAACAATTTGTGTATTGTGGAGAAATGGAATATGATGTACAACCAAATGGGACAGGGAAAGATGATGTCACCGTCTTTGTACTACTTTATACCATGTGACAAGCTTGCAAGCTGTTGTGGACACAGCTGGCAGTCGCCTTGAGCCTTCTGGTGTGAACACAAGAATGTGTTCCCGATGGTCGCATGTGTACACAGATTTCATTGCTCCTCAATGCTGTTTTCAAGAAATGGTTGTTTAAATTGGCCAAAAGATTTAATAAGCACCCTGTTTTTAGATTATAAATGCTTGGGAAGTGTAAATGCTTTAAAGTTATTTTTATTATATACATTTTAAAATTGTAATTTGTAATGTCTTATAATTGCTGTTGCTTTTTTTCCTCTCTTCAGATGCAAAATCCAGAAACCTTAGCTGCCATGTCAAATCCTAGAGCAATGCAGGCCTTGCTACAAATCCAACAGGGTTTGCAGACTTTGGCAACAGAGGCTCCGGGCTTTATTCCAGGGTAAGGAGTCCTTTTACAGACTTAAAATTGGAGAAGGCAAAGAAACATATATTTATTTATTTGACAAATTATAAGTAAATATTTTAATATAATGTGTTCTGCACTTAAGTCAACTTGAAATGACAGTACATTTCTTAACAGACCTGCTGGAACTGATGAGGTCAGCATCCTCCAAGTCTTGTCTTGTCGGACGAGTTCATCCTCCTGCTCTTAGCCTGTGGTTGTGGTTCTTACAGGTTAAACGTGGGTGGTCTCGGAGGACTGGGGAGTGCTGGTGCTCCAGGCAGTAGCTCTGTTACAGGTTCTGGTACTGGGGACATAACAAGCAGCAGTCATGGAAGCCTGGAGGCAGGGCAGCAACAGTTTGTCCAGCAGATGTTGCAAGCCCTTGCTGGAACCAGTCCGCAGGTAGGGAGAAATTCAAACTTCCAGATCGCTGTGGCTTATGAGACGGTCTCATGCAAAGACATGTTGTGGAAATGCCCCCAAACCTGAATGCTTTTAAACTACCTTTAAATTATTGGCTTCTCGGGATCTAGGTAAGAATAAATTGACCCACTTGAGGACCTTAAATGTCACTTAAGAAATCACTTTAAATTGATGAACCAAAGCTGGCAACAGAATTATCTGCATTTTCAGTCACATAGTATGTATTATAAAAAATGTCGTGTTTCCTTTCTCATGTCAGGCTCAGAATCCAGAAGTAAGGTTTCAGCAACAACTAGAACAACTCAGCGCAATGGGATTTCTTAACCGTGAAGCCAATTTGCAAGCACTTATCGCAACAGGAGGAGACATCAACGCTGCAATTGAGAGGCTACTGGGGTCGCAACCCTCATAGCACCCCTCTTTCAGGCTGCAAACAAATGTAATTTATTTTTGATATAACAGCTGTTCAATCTTTAAAATACTTGCTTTATTTCACTTTGAACCTGAAGACATTGGTCTTATGTTTAGGAAGTTTGGGAGCGTTGTAAAGTGAAGTGTAGTAGTTGTATATGAGCAGTGGGAATCAGTCCATTTTCACTAATAATGTTGCATGATTCCAAAACAAAACTGAAGACTTTAACACATTCATTGTGGTTTTTTAGACCATTCTCAGCTTCTTACAGTTGTGTGAGCTGGTGTATATGATGCGAAACTGTCATACTTTGTATTTCCGTTTTTGGTTCTTAGCCTTCAGTAGTAATTTATATTCAGTTCAAAGACAAAACAGGCTAGAGTACAACTGATCACGGCTGCAATTGTGGTATATTGCTTCTTGGTTAAATAGCATGTTATTTTTGCTAATGGAGCCTTAAGATACATGACCAGATGTATAAAACTGGTATGCTAACGTAATTATCCAGAACAGTGTTTCTAGAAGTGTTAAACAGATGTATAACTCATTCAAAAAATTACAATTATAACAAAATTTGAATTACAGTTGTAGACTTTGAATTTCCACATTATGTAATTACATTATGTAATTTAAGTGAACTGAAGAATCTTGTTAGAAACACTGATCTGGAAATCTATACATGTAGTACACCTGTACAGAGAGATAGCATTATAATTTGTCTTCTAATATATACAGTGGTTAACCATCCTTGATTGTTAAAATCCTGCGTCCCTTTGAAGAGCACTGTATACCCAAATTAAACTGGTGTGCTTTTTTATTTTATCATCGGTTGACTCCTCGTTCTATTCAAGAAAAGCGTTAGGATTTGCATCTCAAGATGCATTTTCAATTCAAAATGTCACTTGTGATATTAATCTTGTTACTTTTAACTGCCTTGTAAAAAATTATATCTTTTTGGTTTTTATCCATAGCTAATTCCTCCTGTTCACAGGTCAATAAAATCAAGTGTATAAAAATATGTCCTTGCAATTTGTTAGATTATGTTGCTTTCATTTGATTTCATTTTATTTATTTTTTTACATTTACACATAAACACAGAGCATATTTTAGATATTGGTGTTCTATACTTTGAACTTGCTACTCTCAACTTTAACTTAATACATTTTTAAAGACGCACTCTTTTTACTAGAGCAGAAAATTTAATCAATCAAATCCCTAAAAATGAAGCACGAAAGATCATTAAATGTCTGGCATTATGTGGACCATGTTAATGTTAACATGTGTAACATTTCTTTACACATATTTGTAGCAATGTTTAAGATTAAGATCACTTTATTGGCTATATACAATTTCTTGTATGAGGAATTTCTTTTCGTATACCCCACTTGCTCTCCATGAGAGGCACAGACAGGGAGAGAAGCTTGGGGTCAGAGCGCAGGGTCAGCTATTTATACACTACTCCTGGAGCAGTTGGGATTAAGGGCCTTGCTCAGGGGCCCAACAGAGTAGACGCTCTCTACTGGCCGCGGGATACAAACCGGCAACCTTCCAGCCACAGGCGCAGATCCTTAGCCACAGAGCCACCACACCACCCCAATGTTAAAGTGACCGAAAGCATGACAGGTGGCATCACTGCATGGAAGTGATCGATTCTGAACTGTAAATCTTTCTGTGCAGACTCTTTATGTTCTGTGTTTTCATTGATGTCTCCACACTGCCCTTGTGTGCATGTCAGTGAATGTGTATGTATGGGCTTACATTCTGAAAAGTAACCGACCTCAGCCCTCTAAAGGTAGATGGATGAAAGAGTGAATATACTAAATATTGAATGAATGAATATTCCATTACTTAACTGGAATAACAGATTGGAAGAGTTTTTTAAGCACACTATTCTAGTGGTTACTTCAGCATTCAGTAGAAGCCAACATTTTCAGTGAAGTCCAATCACCAAAAGAAGTAGAAGTAGAGACTCAGATTCCACTAGGTGGCAGTCAAGGAATCATTTAAATACTGTTTCACATGCTACAGGGACAGAAACATTTTAGACAAGAACAAGTTAAACCTGTAAAAGTTTTGTTCTATATTTTTATAAAGGCTCCAAGAACATTCAGGAAAATGCTCATTAAATAACTATGTATTACATAGGTTTTAATGGCCATAAAACGGGAATGAAGTAAAGAACTCTACTCAAAAAGTCCGTAGATATCTACATTACACCTATAACAGCGTTGCAAACTACTATCACGTTTCCAAGTTAACCATATGTTTTAACATTGTTAATAATACAATTTAAACAGACAGCTAGACTTCATTTGCTGTTTTCTGTCAAAGGTTGAGAAAAACAACAGATGCAGAACAGAAATGGAGTTTCCAGAAGAAGAAGCTCTTATTGACTTGCCTAAATCCTTAAATAGCTTAGTTTTCATGTAGACATTTTCAATTTTCATTTCTTAAAATGCTGATGCTTTCACATTTTTATTAAGCTTCTCAGGTGCTTGGTTGTTTGATAATTGAAGAACAGCTTGAAAGTGCCAATTAATCAAACTTCCAGATCAATTAATAATTTATAATAAAGGAAGTAAATGCTAAATTCAAATGAAATCTGCAGAACTTGGTTTGAAATATTCTTTTGAGCACAGAATTCAGACGCAACACTCATCAGTGTCAAATGTGAAAGTAAGGAATATGGCATTTGTATTCATATGGCACCATGCATGTGCAATACACAGATGGAAGTTGAATACTCTCAATTCATTTCCAATTTCCAATTGTACCTACATTTTTATATAAAAGCAATGACTTGTTCCATAAACTATAAATGTTGTGCTCTTTGCTTTGTATCTATTGACTACATCTTTTGTAGTGCAGTACTTTGTAAGGGATTCTAAAATGCCCCTGAGAATGTTTGAGATGAATGTTTGCGATGACATGTGATGAGTTTTTCGAGACAATGGGTATAAACTCCAAACTCGATCTTGGTTCCAAATCACATATTCAAATAATCAGAATGACACCGTTTTCGGAAGGAGTCCAAAAAAGTCACTTTAATTGGTTAAAATGTCTCCTGTAATAAATAACATGCTGAACTGAATGTCAGTACACATCAACAGCCAAACAAATGTGATAATGTCAACCCTGTCATGCAAGATAATCCATATTGCACCACAAGACCAACACAGATCCCCTGTTAGACTTATTAGTCACCTTTGGATTCATGGAAGACAATCATCCTCAACTGCAAGGGATAGCCAGTGAATGAATGCGTCAAGAAAACATTTTGCAAGGTTATATTTGAATTGGAATTTCCAGGATATCCCTACACAGTATTACTGTATTTAAAAATACATGTATTTATGTATAAATGTACAAAAAACATATTTGATGTGTACTAAAATAGTTATTAAAGAGTGGTAGCAGGATTACCACCTTACTGCCTGACCTAAGAGACTAAGCAAAGCTAGACCTAGTCACTACTAGGATGGGAGACCTCTGAAGAAATCCAAGTGGTATTGATGGACCACTAGGTGGCTCTTTTTCTTTGGGACCAGTATTTCACCTAATTCATGAAGGACACTGTGGCCTTCATAAAGCTCCCACTTAATTCAATTGGTAAAGGAATTTTCCCTATTCCCTCCTGATCTAGGGTGATGCGAGGCTGCTGGCATGTAAATGACTGTGTATCACCTAAGTGGGTACTGCCTTCGGAAGTGGATGAAGTGGGTCTCCTTCCATGTCAGGATTTATTAAACTGTGTATGAGAACTGGAATACAAGGGAGAAATAATCCTACTGAATACATTTCTTTATTCAACCTTCAGCATTTTAAGTAATAATGATCATTTATCTTCAGTAGCTTCATTGTAATTAACCACCACTCTAAACCTGGAATTTGTTGTAGGATCAGATCAAATAAACCAGTGTAACAACATGTCTTGGATGATAAAGAAATAAACACAGAACTGTTAATTCTGTATTTAATAGATATTTTTTTACAATATGTGCATGACACACCACAGTTTTGGTCATTTTATTTCTTATGCTATACTAAGCAAAGATAATTAGAATCTAAAACAAGTTATGTTCATCATAAATGCTGTGCCACAGTAAAATCTGTATGATATACTGTACCGTTCTAACATTATTGGCCAGAAAGATGCTTATTCATGGCACTGGACAGCCCAGTGCCTACCCAGACGTACAGGGTGCAAAATGGGACCAAATCCAGGACAGACAGCCCAGGGCGGCACCAGGACAGTTTAAAAGTATATCTTTGGAAAACAGAAGACAGCCAGAGCACCAAGGGAAAGCCCAGAAAGAACCCTGGTCCAGAATTGTACCCAGCACCCAAAATTTATGAGACAGCAATACTAATCAACGCTTCTCTACTTAAACCAGAGTAGGTCATTATCTACCAAAAATATAGCCTGCTTAATTTGTACACAGGATACATTTATTAGCTTTTATTTATCAATTTTAAAGATAATGGCAAAAATGAAAAATCCTGAAGAAGATTGCAACACTGTTTCAGTGCGCACTTCCAGGAAAAATGTTGAAGTATTAAATGGGGTTTATGTATTGAATTAAAGGAACTGTCATTAATGCATTTCCCTCTGTATTGTGCGTTCTGCCAGGATCCAGCCTGCTGTTGACTTGAAGTGTTTCCATGGTTACAAATGTGAAGAAAGAGCTTTCTCTATCTCAGCTGTAATTTCTTGGATGCCACTGTCAATGTCCACAGTAATAGAGTTCTCGTCTTCAGAAGGGGGCTCCAGGATGTCAAACTGGGACTGAATCAAACTTGCAGCCATGAAATGTCCTTTTCTGGCAGCCATTCTTTTACAGATGAGCTCCATGGACCCGTGAAGGTACACAAACAGTATTTCCTTTGCAAGATCGTGCTGAAGCTCACTGGGATTTAAGTGTAAAATATCTGATCCAAACACCAGCAGCTCTCGGTAGAATTTCTTCAGAGCAGAGCATGCCATGATCGCATGTTTCCCACCAGACAATTCCCTAAATATAACCAACACAAATGTTATCATTAACATGTTCTGTTGCAGAAATGAATACTGCTTACATAGAGGAATGGATTGGGATCTTCAGGTAAGAGGATTCTCCAGCTGTGCCACTTACTTAAAAGGTTGATCAATTTAAATTATAGAATATTATGTGTAAAAAAAAATGTTGGTAAGGAAAATGTAAAACCCCACAAAGAAATATTCTGAACTTTCTGTATTAGCATTGGACAACCAATGTGCCTTCATCCAAGGTAGCTTGATCTTTTAAACTACACAGTGTAATAAACATCAGAAAGTTACAGAAAATATACAGTTTATACTGTATGATCTCATTAAGATAGGAAAAAATATATTTTTGACATACAGTACAGTGCTTGCATAAGAATTAAACCCTAGCTCAGAGGACGATCTTAATTCCTCAGTGAAGACTATGATGACATGTTCAGTCATCAATAATCAGACATTATGCATGGTACCTGTAGCAACCATTTGATCCATGTTCTAACACACCTACCATACAAATCCCAAGGGCTCGAAAGCACACCGAAGCCAAAAGGCACCTAACGCCTACGAGTTCCATAGTTTAATATCACTATAACAGGCTCACATACCAAAGAGCTCATTTCATGAAACAGCTGCAGCTCCAGTGCAAACACAGATTGTCCATAGAAAGTATTATCCTCCATTACATACCATTAGACAGATGTTCTACAGTATGTCTAATCAGGGAGATATAGAAATCTTGTCTGGAAGTTGCTTTGTCTTGAACCATGTGATTGTAAATGTGCACAAGCACAGATGAATTTCCAAAAAAATGTTCACAGATTTTTCCAAAAGTTAAGAAGAGGTAAATTACAACGCCATCAAACTCTGAAGATTGGTTTGATACACAGCTCTTGGCATGCACAGTTTTAAATTGGTGGTAAAGTAGTTCCATCATTTAATGTGAAACAGTAGAAAATCACTTTCCCCATCAATATTGAGCACTACCAAATATAGGAGAAGGTACAGTATATTTTCAATTGTAAGTGTTAGACCAGTAAGTGTTTAGGCAGCATAAAAATACAGCAATGACAAATTTATAAAACAACCAAAAAAGGGGACACCGATCTAAAGTGATTTAAAATGTTGCCAGTCTAAACAGTGGTAGGAGCACTCAAATGTGAGTAAAAGCATCAGATTTCAAGAATGAGATCATCTGTTTGAAGGGTGTTACACAGAATTCAGTGAGTAAAACCAATTTTCATGTGTTCTCTTTGCTGACACACCTCCTTGTTTCAGAATCAATTATCTTTGGTGCCAAACTCCAGCGCAGCTGAGACTCTTAAACCTGTCACTAGCTTCATCTGTTCAAAGCTGACAAAGTAAGCCCTCACTTCCAAAAAACGCAGATGAGCAGAATGCTTTCAGGCAGCTACAACTCAAACTGAATTGTAATGAAAGCACAAATGCCTTTCCTGCTTCTAGAATATAGCAGAATATTTTGTGGCTAAGTAATGTCTCCAAACCTTTAGCTTGAAAAATAAAAAAATATATATAGAAGGACAGCAAAGATCAAATATACATGATACAGATTTTATCATGAATTTATAGGAATTTATAGGAATACTGAATATATAAAGAAATAGTGTAATCTGTTTCTGTTAAGGACAGATTTATTTTATAAACTGAAAGCATTTTGAAGAAATAATTAAATTAACAGAGGTTTAACTTTTCATTCCTTATCCTCTTGCATATGTAGATTATCATACTATTTTTAAAGGTATTTTAGAGCCACAGATGTCAAGCTGCATCTTTAGGAAAATCTCTGTGTGCTCAGATTTACACATCAGTGCGGTTACCTCATTTAACTCCCAAAATGTATTTTTCCTAAAACTGTTCTCTAGCATGGTTAACAAAACCTAAGCCCAGTAAACTAAATATAATTCAAGAAAACTAGCAAGGAAAAAATGAATAAAAGCACATACACTGTCTTCTAAAAATGTTCAGACTCAATGGTCCTATGGTGTCACATTTAACAACATTACAAAATTATGCATACAGTACACATATTTAAATTAAATTTTATTAAAAATTATACTGAAGACGTCTAAGGATAAGACAGGTTACAGTAAATGTCATCAAAAGCTAAAGAGAAAAAACTGAAGTATACTGAAGTCATAATATATAAAAGAGTTCTAATATAAAAATCAATATTTAGTGGAGACAAATAACAGAAATTACAGTCTTTTTTATCTCTATCAGCTTTGTCCCATTGCTTGGAGAAATTTTTGCCAATTCTTTTTGGCAGATTTGCTCAAGCTGCTTAGAGAACGCCTAGTTTTCAATTATTTTTGTAGATCCTCAATAGGACTGAAGTCAGTCACAACACTCAAGCATATTCATCTTATTATTCTTAATCCTTTAGTTTTTGGCCATGAAATTTGAAACGTTATCCAGATGAAAGGTGAATTACTGTCCCAGTTTTAGAAGCAAGTTTTCCTCTACAATTTGCCAGTACTTTACTACATCTATCATCCCATCAGTCTACACAAGCTTCCCAATTGCTGCTGATGAGATGCAAAACTATAACAATGCTGCTTCCTCCATGCCTGACTGTAGTGAACTTAATATATATGACAGGATAGTGTCAACTGTGTGATGCAGTATGTTGGGTCTGCGTCAGATGTAATGACAGACGATGATTACCCACAAACATTTGCTTCTGTCTCAGCAATTTAACTTCTTAACTCTTTCCAAGTTGCCATTGGACCTGTGGTGGCATCCCTAACCAGTTTCCTCCTTGCCATGCTGCTGATTTTGGAGGGACAGACTTATCTATATATATATAAGACAATGTCTAGGCAACTTACACTTAATAATCAACTTCACCATGCTCAAAGAGGTGAAATGTTTTCATAACCTGATCCAGATCTGTGTCTTCGCTTGAAATTTACTTCCTGAATGGGGAACCTTACAGAGGTAGGTCTATTTATTCCGAAATGTGAACCATTACTATTCGACATAGACAGGGGCCACTCAACTAATTAGGTGATCCTGAATTAATCATAGTTTGCTACAGAAAAATCATGATTTTCCCATTTTCTTTTAAATGTGCCATTTTTATATGAAGCTTTGGAGTACATTTTGTATATAAGTATGAATTGCCACACCAAAGAGTCATGAATATAAGCTTTAAGCCCACAACATATGAAAACTGTGCAAGTGTTGAAATACTTGTGCAAGGCCCTGTATAACATCACGTTTATTAATTAAATGTATACATTCTGTATTGTTGTACTAGGTGTGTTTCAAAATACTTTTTGTAGCAAATAATAATAATAATAATAATAATAATAATAGTAATAATATTTTGTAGTTTTCAATATTTGTTACCTTAGGATTATGTCATGCAAAATGAGTAACCAAGGAATCCTGTCCTGTTGAATAAACATATAAAACAGTCACAAGAGGAAAAAATATTACAAAATGTAATCATTTACCTAAATTAAAACACTGTCTTATAAAGCAAGTTACATTGCTTAGATTTTTATATCTTTGTCCTACGTCAAATGGCATTCTTTTCTGGAGACTGGATGCTCATAATAATTTTAACGATTTTTTCCATAAAACACCCATGGCAAGTTACAGATTGGATGATCCTGTTTATGTGGAAATGATGTGTGGAGCAACTGCTCATGGACAGTAATTACATATAGAGCTTTACTGCATGGAGTTGTTTTTAATTTTTGTGAATAATAACATATATAAACATACATTTCAAGAAACAAATGACTGGCCTCATTAATAATATTTAATGAGGTCAACCAAAACATTTCACAAAACTTGGCAATCTTTTGAAACTGAAGCCATTATTTCACAACCCTAATAAAACCATACTTTAACACTAGGTGTCACCAATGTTAAAAGTCTTGCCATCAGTCAGACTGGATTTGTTAAATGCAATGTCATAGCCCATCCATCCATTTTCTCACTGCTTTATCTAATACTCGGTTGCAGGGGATCCGGAGTCTATCCTGGCAAGCAATAAGAGCAAAGCAAGATACTGTACAGCCTGGATGGAATGTCAGTCCACACAGATACAGACACACCAATTCTCCTAAAGCTGAATTAACCAACCAGTATGCCTTGGACCGTGGGAGAAAACCCACACAATAAAGAGGATAACATACAAACTCTGTGCAGACAGCACCCCAGGAAATTAACCCAGGGCCCCAGCACTGATAACCACTGTACCACAGCGAGTCTGATTTTGTTTTATAAATCATTGAATCAAATCGAGATTTTGTAGTAACAGAAGATGGAGTTTCTGAGGATCTTAATACGATGAATCATCAACCTTTTCTATTAAATATCCATTTGACATGTGATGGAAGTTTTACAGTAGTAAGATCTCATTTCTTTTCTGCCTTGAAACTTCACATTACTGTGGAAATTTCCAAAGCTCTTCCCCAAATTCCAATTTAAAAAAAAGGACACTGTATAGAAAATACCATACGCTTGACTTAATTTAACCTTCCTTTCCAAATGAATAGCAGTATACAAAACCACTTGGAAATACGGTGGAGGATTAATGGGTGTACCTGCCCTCAAACTTTTATCCAGTAGCTGTGATTAAAAACTGTGGCATCTAAGGTGATTACTTTTGGGCATCTTAAGAAGGAGGTCTTTATAAGGTTTAAATATCTGCAATACATCACAATTCACAAATCCACACATGACCCTACATTTGTCTATCTTTGGCAAAGACCACACCAGTACCACAAATCACAGACCTCTAATGCTGCTGCTCTTTATGGCCATCTTAAATACAATCAAAATGGTCTCTTTATCATTAATAATGATTTCTTGCACTTAAAAATAAATTCTCAAATATATTTGAGATTTGAAACTGCTCATAGCAAAAGTGTAGCAGATAGTCTAAGATAACCTTAAGAGCCTTGTACCTGATCAGTTAGTGGTATTCCATTTGCCATTTTATCTCTGTTTTCTTTGGGATGATAGTCGTCTCCATCAAAAAAAGTCCATCCTAGCTACAAAAAAGATGCATAACTGAAAGTTAAAATTCCATAAGTACACATAAGCATTAACATAAGAATAACCTACTGTAAAAATCAAAATTTACCTTGTTTGCTAGAGATGCTCCCACAGTACTCCTGAGAAGCAAAAGGGCAAGTTATTTTAACAACTTGAAACAAATGCCACAAAGGACACCTAACTGGCAAATCCTAATACAGCACAGAAATTAACCAAACAATACATGATATTGATATGATAAGAACTGTTAAAAAACCCTCGGAAGTTTCAGCTGTTTACATACTGGAGTGCAGGGACAGCTGAGCTTATATTGATTAGAGAATGGGATCACTTAAATCACAAAACCAAGAGAACTAAATAAACCCAATGCTTTAAGCACATTCATTTAAGACAGTTAGGTCGTCTACAGTGTCCTTAAAAGCACATATTAAAACAACCTTTCCCCATTAACTTGGTACACTTCAGTTTGAAAGCGCAACAGTAAAATCGAAACATGAGACGCATTTTAACCGTTTTTAATTATTTTAGTGAACATCAGTCATTCTCAAATTAAATCAGTTAAGATGAAACCTTGATTTGAAATGACCCCCTATAAAAAACTTTTGTTTACTAAAGACATGCTTTCCTTGATGAACGCTAGCTCCAATATCAACACATATGTTCACTGATCAAACTACGTATAGTGAAGCAACAACGTACTTCCCACATCCACATACTCCCATTAAGACAAGTATCATTACGCTCTGTGCAGCAAAACTCCGTTTATATAATTCTTGTTATTATAAAACTGCTCCTGCTGCCCCAGCAGAAAGTCGCAAACGCGCAATACTCTGACGTGAAACCATTTCCGCCTTTACATTTAAAGCTGTAGTACACGTGGAGGCCCGTCATAGGGAAAGCTATTTAATACTTTAAAATAAAACAGACTTCAGAAAGTGATTTTTTATACATATAATTTAGTTTTATGTCTTTATTATATGAAGTTTTATAAATATAATTGAGTCTTATGTCCTTATTACATTACGGATATTTATATTATTCATATTCATATTCATATTCATATTCATATTATTATATTATGACCGGGCCGTATCTGAATTTTCTACTGCTGCTTAGCAGCTGTTTTCCAGAAATGCTGTGTATGGAGCTTTTTAATAAAATAAATTCCACTATCTGTTTGGGTGGCATGCTTTTAAATTTCCCTGGATCACAGAATGAATAGAAAGGGTGAATAATATAAATGACTGCATAGGCAGAAATCAGTAATTTACTTTATACCTTTGAAGTACTCTTATATATTACATTATTAACCAATTCCATAAAGAACACTGGGAAACAAATCTAAAACTTATTGAATTTGTCTGCGCAACAATTCATATTTATAATTAGTTTACTGAAGTATTGTGATTCTTCTTAGTAACACGAACTGTTACCTTTTTAATATATATATATATTTGTTTTGGTGAATAAGAAAAAACAGTTGTCTCAGTTGCAGTGCGATCTTGCATCTTTTCTGGGAACCTACCACACAATCTTGCATAAAAAAACAGGGCTGGGCGAAAGAGAACTTGTATACTGCCAAGTGCAGCAAAGGTTCACCGCTGGTTGACTTTAAACCTTATGTTATACATTCTTATTACCTTGAATATCGGATGTGAAAACATGCGTGTACATTTCTAGATGGATTTACCTACTGTTATTAAACATGCGCTTCCGGTATTTTATGTATTTTTTTTTATTAATGTAATGCAGTCATAAGCTGCCTACAGTCGTGTTAGAAGTCTTCTACAATGTAACACACATTCAGGGAGAATGTGTTTTTACATTGTTTTCCTGTGTCGCATTAAAATGAATCACGTTGAATCGCCCCCCCACACAGAGTGATGCTAAGTTACATTAGACATCTCAAGTACGGCCATTAAATTATTCATTGCATTTCACAGACATAAAGAAGAGTGAATTAATGTTCTTGAATTGAAGCCCACTATACTACACTTTGGACCATAAACGTCATCAATTTTGAACACATTAAATTAATAAATGATGTTCTGCTGAATCTTTTCAAGGGATACAAGATCACATGCCCGAAGACCATGCGGGACGTGTTTCCAGCGATATTTCCATAACATTTTAAAACATCCTGAGGTGGTGCTATAAGGTGCTCACAGGCACCCATAAGGATTTTGCTCTTCAAAAATATTGCAATCATCCACTGAAAATCAAAAGTATTCTAGTTCACATTCTAGTGAACATTTACTTAAAAATTCGGTGTACTTTATATACGGTTCATATGTGATTGTTTTCAGTGTAATCCGCTGTATTATTACTCTCCCATGTACATTAAAGATACATTCTTGATTGCCAAGCAATGCATTATTAAACATGTGGATTTTAATTGACGTTCTTCGTCTTGCACTGCATTTGTATTTCCCATTTAGTTACAGAATGAATCGATTTTCTGTGTGTTCTTGTCTAAAGACACTGGTCATGTGCAGGTTGAATAAAAGCCAGGCGTGTTTCTGGAGTAACTATGAATGGAGAGAAGCGCAGAGTAGCTTGTTCGCTGGGGACAGAAAGCGGCTCAGATCACAAACGTCAGAAAGAGCTCTCCTACTAGTCTGCAGCAAGGCGATCCTTCGATTGCTTGCAACTGATGGTTTCCATTTCATCATTTCAGTAGCCTTTTACACCAGTTCTTCTGCTTTACGTTGCCTTGTGACAGAGGTCTTCGCTTTGTCATGTAGAATTAATAAATAACGACAGAATAATGAAAATGCTTCGATTTCGCACTTCAAGTGTCAAATCCTTAAACCAGGAGATTAAATGTACCATCAGGCTGTTGGATGACTCGGAGATCTCATGCAATATACAGGTATGCGAAAAGCTTTCTTCTCATTTGTTTATTTCCAGCGTTTATTATTTTTCTGGGTGAACTTATCGACGCACATTCAAACCTTACGGTTGCCAAGGAACCCCTTTCGCGATGTAAAACGTTAGCTCATTGTGTTGTGTTTGTGGAACAATGCAGTTACAAGCGTGCATGTTTACCAAACGCCACAGATTCTTTCTTACAATTTGCATCACATTGTAACACAACTGCACTTCGATGTGAGAAGGGTGAGCTGTGAAAGCTACAATTAGAACAGTCTGTTTTAAATTAGCAGTGTTCTAAAATATAAAATCGATTTTTATATTGTTTAAACCAAGAGACTGGAAAACTTGTTCCAAGGATATGCGCATTAATGGATGTCCCCAAGAATAGCCTTCTTAGAAAATAAATCAGAACAAAACCCATTTAAAACCACAACTGCAAATGTGTTGTTTGATATAATACATGTTTTGGAAGTAGGTAATAAATTAACCGGAGTTTTTTTGCATAAGGGCTATAGCAACACGAATTAAACTTGATATTTTAAAATAACCCACTTCTACTGAGTGGACAGAAAACTAGGAATATTCGTTCTCTAGTGTAATTTGTGCTGCATGGTTTCCATTTTCACTAAAGAAAGTTACGAACTAAGAATAAGAGGGAAAAAAATCAGATGGGTGTGGTTTTGGTTACGGTGTGGGATACAGTACTTAAGTGGACGCAAGCTTGGAGTGGTGATGTTTCTTTGACTACGGGTGTAGTTATACTAATTGGCGTGTGGGGCTGGGAGATTCGACAACACACGTGGTTTTATCAATAATGTCTGAAATCCTGGCTCCATGAGTAGTTTTAATTGAATCTGCTTTTTATGAAATATGCACGCGAAGGTGAAGCATACAGGCTGTTTTGTTGTTGTTGTTTTTTACAATTTTAAATGACTTAAATGGGACATTAGCAATAGAATGGCAGGCAAAACGTTTTGTGGTATGAAACCACTTTTATTTACTGGTGGTATGTGTTTAAAAATGTTTTGAATTTACTAGACATGAGAGTCTATAATTTATTTTTAATGTGAACTAGTGACACAGTAATACCCTACTTTCCTTCTTCCTGAGGTGCTTTTTGAATGGTTTTAAGATCAGCACATACAGATAGGCCCGCTAGTTCTCAGTGCACTGGAGGAATCAAAGCTTCAGATTTTTATTGTCATCAGTGTTTAGTATTATCTTTAATATTGGTGGAAAGGAAGGGCTTTACATTTTCACTTTATAATACAGCCCTGTGAAAGTTGTTGATAAATTGTATATGTAATTGGCAGAAATTGTTTTTTTGCTGTCTTAATGTAGAAGAGGTAATATCACATTTAATAAAACATTTAATTCATTTTTTGACTCGATTCAGGTCAGGCATGTCCAGTTCTGGCCCTGAAGTGTTTGAGCTCCGAAGGGTTTTCATTTCAACTCAGGACTTGAGGAGTTAAAAAAGTTGTGACTTGACTGGAGCACTTTGACAGTTTCTCCCAACTCTTCAGGTGCTACTACTTGAAAGAGACCTAGATAACCTCCAGGACTGGGACTGGACACCTGTGGCTTAGGCCCCTATGAGCAAAGGACTCTTAGTATGAAGAACCAGAAGACTTTGCAATTCTGGCACAACCTGGAGCTCGTCAGGTTTCTGCCTCATAATATAGCACAGGATTGGTGCTGGCAGGTACTCAGCCTGGCTAAAATAAAAACACCTTGTTGTCTGAAAAGAAAAAGAAAAAAACTCAATAGAAAGACTGGCAATTTACATTTCTATCACTTCACATTATCGTGCAAGTATTACATCTTTTGTATTTACTACCATCAAGATCACCAGTAAAATGAAGTTATGACAGTGAATGTAGTATTTTTAAGATCTTAGTTTTAGCTTTTTTAGCTAGCACAGCAAAAACAGATTTTGTTTTAAATCAGGTAAGATCTACCTGCTAAATAAAAAAGATAGAGAATATAGAACATTGGAACATACGGTTACAAACAAGAGGAGGTCATTTGGCCCATCTGGCACGTTTGGTTGTTTGGTAAATAGCTGTACGGTATATTGATCCAAGGATCACTTCCAGTCATATCTTGATGGAAGTCAAGGTACTGTATTGGCATCAACCATAAGGCTGGGTAGCTTGTTCCATACTCCCACAACCCTTTGGGTAAGTGCTTTATGTTCTGGGCTCAAAATGCACTTCCACACAGTTTCCTCTTGTGTACTCTGGGTCACTATTCACTGTTCATTCTGAAAAAGTCCACTGCATCAAATCCATCAATGCCTTTGAAGATTTGTTTGCCCTTGTAATCTTTTCAATCTGAGTTTAAGTTTAAATTGAGTAATGGAATATTGTTATCTGTGCACCATGCATGAAACGTCTTGTCATCATCTGGAGTTTTAAGGCGTGCCGAGAACTATTTTTTTAACCTTTTCTTAAATTTGAATGAAATGAAAGTGTGTTTGCCTTGGTTAGATAGAAAGGGTGCACGTTTCTTGTTTGCCTAAAATGAATCTTAAATACATTTGACACTTCCTGTAGAATCCTTGACAACTGCACAAAAAAGATAAAGCAAAAGCTTGTATCTCCAGTGAAATAGCAAGATATCCTCAGGCCAGTGCAGTGCACTGAGTCAGTCTACACATACTGTGCAAACGGCAATAGGAGAAAGAATTTCTGAAGTGTGGCATTACAGTTGCAGAAACTCTCCAGTGGGTGAATATGTTTAGAAGAATACCATATTATAAGATATTTGTCATCACTCTATTGTTGCCAGATTCACTACTAACTCTGCCTTGCTACAAACCATGCAATCTAGTGATGATACAATAATATATCATTGTAAATAGAATTTATTTCTGTATTTAATGTTCTGTGGAAAAACAACAGTTTTGTTTATGTTTCATAAAAAAACACTGTTCATACAGCCTTACCAGTAATTGGAAACAATAACAATCTCCTTCAGCTAATACAGTACCTTACTGTGAAAAAAGCTGAAGGAATCAGGAATTTGTAGTTTCTCATGCAAGATAATGACACTTTTTATAACTCAATCACCTAGTTAGACAGAAAAAGGGTTAATGGAATCCTGTTTCATGGCTGCTTGTGATTTATATTTTATGAGTGGTGGCACAGTAGTCACAAGTCATTAAATTCTTACCTTATAACCAAGTGATATAGTATATTCAGGTTTCTTCATTAAAGGAAGATAATTCTGAGAGAATGTAATTGAAACTAATAATGACTGCTATGACAAACAGAAATATTATTTAAATATACAGAATTGTACATCGTACAGTACCTTCTGAATTTCACTACTGCAATGCAGAAAATGTCTGCCTGTTGTGTTAGTGCAACATAAAGAATTGTTTCGTTCCAACTTTAACATTAGTTTTACACATACCTTTCTTTTTGAAGATAAATATGGAAGCCTCTTCTGTTCTTCATGTGAACAGATATCTTCTGTATATGAAAAAATGCTTTTCTCAAAAAAATAATTTTGTTTTCTTAAAATTCTTTGAAAGGTACAGTATTCTGGTGAGTCTTCCATGGAGCATGAAACATTATAAGTCATGTATTACAAGTTTTATCATGCAACGAAACCTTACTTTTTTAACTTGACTTTTTCTGTCTGTTACTTCTTCCATTCTGACGTTTTGGAGGATTTGTAAACATACATATTTCACTTGGAGACACTCTGATATGCTGGCACAACGGTACAACAGTGGTGCCCCACCTGAGAATTGGGCCAACCCTCCAGTTAGAACTTCTACTTAATGGAGAGAAAGCAGAGTACAGTGGCTTCAATTATTAGATTGCGGTGATCCAATTCTGGGGGTACCACAGGGATCTGTATTAAGACTACTTCTCATCTTAGTGAATATCAATGATCCTGAGACTCAAATGGTCAACCTGCTTGAATTTCACATATTACAGCAAAATAGGAGATAAAGGAAATGTTATAGAATTAAGCAAGTCATTAAAAAAATTAAGACAAATTTCCAGAGTAGGCAGACAAGCGGAAGATTTTATTTAATGTAGACAATTTTCTATGTCATAGAAAACTTGTGAAATTCCTCTATCAAGGCTGTGTAATTAAATTAAACAGAATCTCAACATGAAGGCATGAACAAGTTTCTTTTTTATTAGGTTTGGTGAGATGCATGTTTTTGGATAGTGTTAAGGCCATGCACAGCTTCAAGGTCAGATAGCAGTACCCTGGCTGTATTACAACCTGATGCACTTTAGGTAATCAAATACCGCTGAATAGACATCAAATCAAGGACTAATTACATTCTTCTTTTCAGGTCACATACCATCTATTTTTAACAACAGCTTCAAGCTGCTCTTTTACAACTCGATGAATTCTTTAAGAATGATAAGGATATTGATTCTTTCCATATTAACATCTCAGGACAAGAGTATGCTACAAACTATAGAGTGTTTAAAATACAATTTCAGCCAAAGCATAAAAAGAGTTTGAAGTAGCAACAGTGTTAAGACAACAGTGTGGAATAGTGATTATGGTTCTGGATTCAAGACTGGAAACACAGCTCTTTTACCCTTTAGCAAGGTACTTCTGTCAAATTGCTTTGCTTAATGCCCTGCTGTAAATGGGTCTCTGGGTTATAAATGATTTTCTTCTCAATTGATTTATCCGGTAAAGTAAAGGAATAAAAAACAGTCCAAAATCAGTTCAATTATGAGGTGTTAAACTGAGGATGTGATTTGTAGAGCACTGAGATAATTATGTGATACAACTTGACCTATTAAATATTATGGTGAAGGTGGTGCCTTTTATCTTTTTTTTCTGTGGCATTCTGCGAAGTTCATATTTTAACACTTAATATCTGATGGTGTGGATGAACATACAGTATAGCAGGTAAAGCAAGTGTTTTGGACACTCAGTTGAATGGATGTAGAGTATATGAAACTATTTACGAGATATACTTTTTTCTCACATTAAAATAACTATATTTCA